AATTAATGCATGTAGAGAACATTTTTAAAAATGTTTCTGTTTAAAACTTTTTGTTAAAATGTCAGTTTTTTATGTCATTTTTGGACAAAAACCTAACCGCGCTGATGTATGTTTACCTTTTCTGTTTAAAACTTTTTGTTAAAACCCCAACCCTAACCCTAACTCCAACACTAATCATAACCCTAACCCTAACCCCAACCATAACCCTAACCCCAACCCTAACCATAACCCCAACCCTAACCCCAACCCTTGGTCAAAAACTAAAAGATTTTCACAAAAAATTTGTAAAATTATTTTTCAAAATTGTATCTTTTCCTGCATGTTTTTCATAAAAATGAGAGAATTTAAAGATCATTTTTTGAAATTTATTTTTTTAAATTTTCTGTCAAAATATGGAGTTTTCATGTCATTTTTGGTGAAAAACTAAAAGATATTGACAAAGATTTTTGTAAAACTATTTTTCTAAATGTTATCTTTTCTGCATGTTTCTCATCAAATTAGGGCATAAAGATAACATTTTTGGAAATTTATTTTTATAAAATTTTCTGTCAAAATGTGAATGTGAAAATGTTTTGTGTCAGAAAATATTTTTAAGAACATTTGTGTAAATTTATTTTTCAAAATTGTATGTTTTCTTGAATGTTTCTTATAAAATTAGGGCATTGAGAAAAAAATCATTTTCATGTCATTTTTGGTAAAATTCTAATAAATTTTAACAATTTTGACAACAAAGTTTTATTTTTTGCAATTTGAAAATTTTTTAGAAAAATAATTTTATTCAAGTGTTTTTTTCAACATTTTATGTTTTTTTTGGAAAAATATTTAGAAAAAATATTTTTTGGAAAACTTTTAGAAAAAAAATATTTTTTAAAATTTCTATTCGAAAAAATTGAAACTTTTTTAGAATTTTTTTTGATAAAATTTTAGAAAAATATTTTTTTCAAAATTGTATGTTTTCTGCATGTTTCTCATTAAATTATAGCATTTTGAGAAATACTAAAAGAATGTTGGATAGATTTTTCAAAAAATCCTAATTTAGCCTTTCATTTTTGGTCAGATGTTGAAAACAATGTTGGTCAAAAACTAAAGTTAGTCAAAGTCAAAATGTGAACTTTTTGTGTCGTTTTTGGTCAAAAACTAACAAAATGTGATACATTTTTTGTAAAATTCCATCCATCCATCCATCCATTTTCATTCGCTAATTCATTGCCGGGTCGCGAGGGCAGCAGTAGCCACCCAAATCACACTGCACCATACCAACCCCCCTGAACCTTCCTGCAGGTGGAGAGTCCACTGGCAGGTACCAACCGCCCTAACCGGGATTCGATCTTGCCCAGGAGGTGAACCCTGGGGTTCCACACCAATAACAGAGACATTGCTTCTTGGCCAAAGCACCACGTTTTGTAAAATTATTTTTCAAAATGTTATCTTTTGCTGCACGTTTCTCATAAAATTAGGGCATTTAGAGAACATTTTTGAAAATTTATTTTTATTAAATTTTCTGTCCAAATGTGAACTTTTCCTGTCATATTTGGTCAAAAACTAAAAAAAGTGATACAGATTTTTGTAAAATTATTTTTCAAAATTGTATCTTTGCCTTGCATGTTTCTCATCACATTAGGGCATTTAGAGAACTTTTTTGAAATTTATTTTTATAACCTTTTCTGTCAAACTGTTAACTTTTCGTGTCATTTTAGGTCAAAAAGTAAAAGAAATTTGATAAAAAAAATTATCAAATCTCTAGAAACAAAAATCTTCCAAAAAAAACCCTTTTTTTTCAAAATGTTTTCTGCATGTTTCTCATCAAAATATAGCTTTTTTTAAAATTGTGAAACGTTTTGGGATTTTGGCAAAACCTTATTTTGTTCAGATGTTGAGATTTTTTATTTTTAAAAAATATTTACAACAATTCATTTAGAAAAAAATCTTTAGAAAAATTTTCAAAAAAAAAGATTTTCAAAATGTTGTTTTCTACATGTATCTCATGAATTTAGAGCATTTTGAGAAACACTAGAAATATTTGGGGGGGATTTTTTTAGCCTTTCATTTTTGGTCAGGTGTTGAAAAAGATAATTTGATGATGTAAGATTTTTTTATTTGATCTTGTCTGCATGATTCTCATCAAATAAGAGCAGTTTGAGGGTTTTTTCCTAAAAATTTTATCTCAAGATCCCAATTCCACATGTAATTTATGGTCTATGGTTTTATCTTTTTTGAGATAAGAAATTAGAGGACTGCTGTTTATTATCATTACTTGTATCTTGTTTTTTATGGCAAAATCAGATGTGACTGTCGAGGGCCAAAGTAAAACTTAATGGGAAACATCATGATACTATTGTGACTTCTGTGAAACAAGGTGGTGTATTACAGATAGATGATGGTGATTAGAGGTATAGTATACCTTAGGAACTCTGTTGGCTTTGGCAACACTGGAGGAATGAAGAGGAGGCTCAGGACTCTGTGGAATCTCCTCATCAGGAGCAACATCTGGATTCAGAGCAAAGATGCTCTCCAGGTCAATCTGAGGCAGTGAGACAGTGACATAAGGGTGACGATGTACATAGCATTCTAGTGGAAAGAATGTTCAAAGGCTTTGTATTCTACACAAAAGTACACAAACACAAATGTATGTGTATTTTATCCAAAACCAGCAAACAAAGTCTTGGGTACAAATCACATTTTCCATATTCCACTAGGATCTAACACCGGATCACAGGAGCAGTCATTCTGATCCTACAGTGTGAAATAAATATTTAAAAATAAACAAATATCAACATGTCCAACTTTTTCGTCAAAACCCTGTGTGACAACAGAAACATCTCTCTTTTGACTGCTAGCCATTAACATGTTTCGCTGCATGAATAATCACCAGAAACTAGAACAAATGTCAAGTAGAAGTTAAGAAGGAAATATTGAGTTTCCTAAAAAAGGTTGGTGGTTGGACATGGTTGTAATGTGGCTTTGCTGATGGTACGAACCCCATGACTTCTAAAATATTAGAAACAGTATTTGACCTTACTACCTGTTTAAATACTCCACTGATTGTTTCTTTTTTCTAAGGATGTTACTATAGCTTTTTCTTTGGTACAACACCTGCTATTATGTTTTCCACAGGCTGCTTTGTTTTGTCAGGACTTGTAGTACTGATTTATTTCAGTTGCATTGTTGGCTGTTACAACCTACAACCAATGTTACAACCTTATATCCCATTTGCTTAGTCTCTCAGTCCTGTTTCATTCAATTGTATTCATTACTAGGGTATTTTGGTGACATTGTTGGTAATGGCTCTCCTACTGTCAAAAAACATCCATCCATCCATCCATTTTCATCCGCTTATCCGTTACCGGGTCGCGGGGGCAGCAGTCGCCACCCAAATCACACTGCACCGTACCAACCCCCCTAAACCTTCCTGCAGGTGGTGAGTCCACTGGAAGGTACCAACCGCCCTGACTGGGATTTGAACTTGCCCAGGAGGTGAACCCTGGGGTTCCACACCAATGACAGAGACATTGCCTCTGGGCCAAAGCGCCACTGTCAAAAAACAAATACAATAAAATGTTGAACGTTGAAGAGAAGCCCACTGCTCCTGTTCCATGGATGGTTTAAGTCCAAAATTTATTATTATTATTATTAAAGGGCAATTTCACTATGTGTAGCCATCAATTACAATGACAATACAGTTTTTCCTTTATATTAAGGTACTAGTGGATTTTATTAGATTTTTAAGAAAGGATATCATGCAATGTAACATACTTTAAAAATTACCTATGTATAAAATACTTAATAGCATTTGTTTTTTCCTCCTCTGAAACCTAATGACCTAATAAGGCTGACATGAAAAAAAAAACAAGTCAGTATTTAATGAAGCGAGACAAAGGCATCAGTCCTTCCATACCTCTTTACCCTTGGTGTCCCCATTCTCAATCCACTCCACAGTCACGCTCTCACTGTCCTCATGCAGGGATGTGACCATCGCTGGATGTATTCGTCCTGCAGTAGGAGAACGTACAGAGATGCACACAGTCAGTACTCACAGTACAGGAAGTGTCCACAGATTACTATTTGACTTCCAAGTAAAACCTTTTCTATACTTGTTTTTTTGGGAGGGGTGCAGCAGAAGTTAAATATCAACATTTCCATCTTCACTCAAAACTTCTTACTCTGATGCACATGTGATGTGAGGCATATGGGTGTGGCTCGTTGGAGGCAGGAAGACGATGACACTCAGTGTGTCCTACTGTCCCCACACTACAGCTGCATTAACGTTCATGTCCTTATTGAGAGCCACTGGATCATTATAAAGAACAAACAAAAATGACAGAATGTGGCGTTCAGTTTTTTGTTTTTTGTTTTTTTTACAGCGGTGATCAGTAATGCAGCAGAGAGGGGAGGCCTTTACGGCAGCACGCAGCCGTGAATCCAACCACCACCCGTGATTCACAGGCCAATGCTTGATAATGCAGCGCATTTCATTCTGCACTGGAGGTGCAGTGGAAGTAGACGGTTCGAGAATAGCCACAGCAAAGTAACGCAAACCAGACACAGTACAAAAGACCATGGCAGAACGGACGGACCCGCCCGGCTGGCATCCCCGGCGGCTGCTGTGGGTTTACTGAATTGAATAACGACAGCAATGTGGCATTAGAAATAATGGTTATAAATGGATTATCATTGGAAGACAAAGGCTCTGATTGTTATTTTTTTTATTATTATTGTGAAACGACCACGGTGCAGGTTGAGGAGACAGTGATGCAGTAATGCCGGTTAGCCAGCAGAACCGCTCCGGCTGCGGGGAGCGGAAATGCTAGCTCTGCCCAACCCGAGATGCCGGTGAGAGGAGCGTTGTCTTGGGTGCGTTTGTGTCCACGTACCGTCACTCCGTTTTATCTCCACATACACGCCCACGAAGACCTTCCCGAACAGCGCGGTCATCTCAGCCTGTGTTTTCCTCCTGCAGTTCAAGCGAGAGTGTGTGTGTGGCACAGAGTGTGTGTGAGCGCGGTGCCAGGCCAAGTTATGATGTAGCGCTGCAGAAACCGAGGTCACTGTCGGTTGTTCACAGGAGGAGAGAGGACAGGAGAGAGGAGTCAGTGCGCATGCGCATTAGCATCACCCCATCATTTGGCATTAAAATAGGTTTTTGTTCCTAATGTACGCCATTAGAGAATCTTACCGTATGAACGTACTTAGAATAAATAAATGAATGTTATTTTACGCTAATTTTTTTCACAAAACTTTAGAAAATACTAGTAATAATAGTTAAGATTATTACCCCTCTTCAAAAAAAAAACATCATTTCAGCTCACTCTAAAATCATTACGTGTCAATACAGCTATGCACTACACCACTGAATTAAAATCTAAACGGCTGAATTTTACCCTACATATATTTCTTTCTTTTGGCTGCTTCCTAGGGGGCGCTATGAGAGATAATTTGCCTCTATCACTCCCCATTCTTTGCCCCTTAGGGTATACTAAGTAGACAAACCAAACAACTGTTTCCTACATCTTCTCTGCGGTCTTCCAAGTAAAATTGTACTTATTTTAAAAAAAAAAAAAATCTATTTTGCCATATTTTGTGTTGTTCGTATAATTTCAATATAATATTATCTACAAATGTCTCTATTATTTTGTTTTTTGGACCTCAGGGGTAAAATTGCAGAACGTCTTAGTAATGACTTCTATGAATAGTTTAAAAAGGAGTGCAGTTAGAATTTTGTCATTTCCAGTGGCATCACTGTGTTCAATGTATTTATTTATTACTTTTTCTTCTCTTATTTTACAATTGTCGTTTCTACTCTTAGTGTTCGTTGGAACAGAGTTATAGTAGATAAAGGACACTGCCTTTGATTTGCACCCAGTTTGTGTGGCACAGATTAAAAACATAACTGAGCGACATTTAAAACATTCCAAAACAATTTATGCAGCAGTTTCTACCTTTGTTTCATTTTAGTTGTGATCATCACACTCTGATACTGTATAACATTACGTTTTATATTAATCTGATCACAGAGCCATGTATAAATGTAGCTTAGTGTTTCTGCATTCAATACTACTACAAAATGTGCAAAGAGGTGATTTAAGTTGTGTCCCCACGGCAAGAAATCACTGTTATGGATTAGATAAAGGCAACTCTTAAAAGCAAAACACTTTTCAGCAACACGATAGTGATGAATTGAATACATTAAAGCAGTGGCGGTTCCTGACCAATTTCACTGAGGGGGGCCTGAGTGGGTCCAGTAGTGTAGTCAGAGGGGCACATTGAACAAAAAAGACAAAGATTCGAAATCTTAAATGATTCATTTTTATTTATTTATTTGTTTTTTATAAAACTAGTGATCACCCATTGTAAATACTTCAAAATATCACATTTGAAAAACAAGTACAAAAAGTGATACAATTTTTAACAACACCTACCTGGACTGCATTACTGTTACAGCAACTGTATTCTGCGGTTTTGGTGATTTCTAGATAACTAACCAATATTAATAATAATGATCTATATTAAATACCCTTGCCCTTCTAGACTCAATGCACAATACACCCAGATTAATCTACCGTCATTCATCGTGGATCTAAGTTATGTTTTCACAAGCTTTAATGCAGTGGTTCTCAAACTGTGATACGTGTACCACCAGTGGTTCGTGAGCGCTCTCTAGTGGTACGTGAGGAAAATTCATATTTTCACATTTACATTTTCAACTGAATAAATCTTACCATGAACATGCCATGCACAATTAATACAACATTTAAACATCTTTCTAATCATTTATAAACATCTCTCCTGTGGCGGAAGCTAACGGGGAAGGCCTAGGCTGCAGTATTCTAATGTTGGTCCTCATGGTGGTACTCAATGTTTTCTCAGGTGGTACAGAGTATAAAAAGTTTGAAAACCACTGATTTGATGTATAAAACTTTGTTCAACAAGACGCTGTACTCACTGGGGCAGCTGCTATTTTACAGTCCGTAGGACTAAAAAACAAACAAAACAACAACTCAAACTTCGGAACTCTAAAGGAACAAATAAGGTTCTTTTTTATTTCTAAAAAACCGTGTTTCAAGCTCACTGAAAAAGTTTGTACGAAATCAGTCTTCATTTTGTTCTGACTCCCTCTGCCCAACAGTAGTCAGTACACAGTGCTCGCTCGCTGAGTTTAGCCTAGCCTTTAACTTAGCTTAGTGTCCATGAACATTCAGCACTTTATCCCACACATCATCGAATAACGACTCCTGCTTGTTTACTTGCGGTCTATCCATGGTTTTACGTAGAGCTGTAAATCGACCTGTCCATCGATGTTCGCGGTATTAGTTTCTTGTGCTCATCTTCATCAGCAAACGTCATCAAAGCTTCCGTTTACAGTGGTGCAACGAACGGAAAGATCCGACTACATTGTTGAGCCACGCGCATTAGTTCCTCCTTTTACGTCAACATCACAATATTTAAAACTTATCTTCATTCGGAGAGTTAGGCCCAGAGGGAGAGGCGTTTCAGACTCAGTGTTACAGTGTTACCCTTGCTGCCACCTCCACATCCTCCAACGCATAAAGTACTTTTTCTCTCAGTACTGTATTTTGAACTATTAGAATTTTCTTGTAGACCACACGATGGCAGCAAAGGGCAGTACAGAGGAGAAAACATTTCTAATAAGTAGTGACTCGGTTGAGGTGTATTTTGGCAACAAATGTTGGCCAAATTAATATATTAAAGTCTTATGCATCTGTTTTGTTTTGTTTTGATAAAATGTAAATGTAATAGCTACAGTAAAAAAGGGACATTATAAATGATTGTCTGCTAGATCATCTGGAAATCCAATTTGTTAGAATTCACCAGTGGTGGATGTCCAAAACAAAATGTATTCCCAGAACGTGTAAGACACTTGGGTTTTCAGTTAGTGTCTCGAAAATAAACATGTTATTCGTATTACTTTCTGATTTAAAAGCACAGTTGAGCTTTTCATTATGTCTGAATGCACACATTTGATTGGCTAATTAGTGTCACATGAGAAGAGGTTTGCTGCATTTTAACTGACAAGCTAGCTCTGTTAAAGTACATGTTTCCTTCACACAAAGAAAAGACGAGAACCCAAAACTCTCATTCCCCCCAGCCACCAAAGTCCACTATTCATCAGCCATCACTGTCTCTCGTTTCCCCAGCAACCAGCGCCCCCACTGTTAGGCTTTAGGAGTGCCTCGCTCTGGTTGCTCTGGTTTTCAGTGGATGGATGGACATGTACTATTAAGCTGCTGGTGTCTCCATGAGCAGGTCACACTGGAGAATGTTCTTCACTAAAAAATTAAACATTTCCTAAAATAATGTAACGATGTTAACTGGAATATTATTCACCACTAAAACGTCAACTGTGGTGAACAGAATATCATTTTCAGAAGAGCTAGGTTTCAAAACATTCAAACACCTCCATTATCCAGACCACATGGACATTTATCTTTCTTAGGATCTGCAGCTCATTTGTGCAAAAATACAGAGTGAAGCCAGGCTGCTGTTCATACATATTTCTATGGATCATTTACATTATTTTACATAGCAATATTATATGTAGTGCAGTCACTGTGAGGGATCTATTTTGCAGTCATGGATAATTCATGACCTACACAGACACTGAATATATAAAAAAATCTTTTAAAGGTGGTCTGGGACTGGGGGAAATTCCCCTTTCCACTTGGCTTCATTTGTAAAGGCCCAGCTTCTTGTGTTTCAGCTGTAATGTTTACACAGTGAGGTGATGATGTTCTTTTCATTCAGGTAATATGATTCACCTGTGTGGTAGCAGTCAATATAAGCCCCTGTGCTGGAATCGACTCAGCTCTATAGTCATTCATGTTTTGACATGAACAGAGGTCCACTCTTCGCTGCAAATGATACACCTATCATTCAAACCCTGTTTTTACAATCCTTCTAAAGATGCATATTTTTAGTTCATAAATGCTTCTGTTTTAGCTTAAATATGTGAAGTGGACATATAGAAAAAGCAAAAATGGAATGGAATGTTTCTGAATGGAAGAATTTCATTTTCTGCCAAACATACAAAACAATTATTATTGAGGAAATATATTTTTATTAACCAACCTTTAAAGTAACCTAACTTTGTACTACTGGTGTGAATTGCACTGTTACTAATAAATAGTAAGTATTTTCATCAAATGTTCTTCTATCGTCCTATTTTTATGAACGTAATACATATCAAATATATGCTTTTTTTTGAAAACCTTTTACAGTTTACAGTTTAAAACTGGAAATAAAACTGATTTGAACTGATTCGTATACGTCACGGTTTATTTTCACTGAAATAGATAATCCCTGTCAAATCTGGTCTGAAGATTTGGGGACAAAGGAGGAAATTGAGTTAAGAGCCGTTTACCTGATGTTGTTAAGGTGGAGGAGGCGGTGCAGTTGCTGAGACATCACTGGATAATGGTTTCCCTCAATGATGGGGCCCATCCCTGATCACTGGAGCAGCAACGACCCCCAGGGTTTCATCTGCAGATAGAGCCAGTGTTTCAGTTCTCCTGGTGGCATTTAATGGGGGGAAAAAAATTATATAGAATGAAGATACGTCTGTAGTTAACCCCCTATTCTGTCATGCATTTTTAAGAGCTCCATCATTATCACACTTAAACAATGCCCTTGTAAAACTCAGTAGGTCAACTGGATGTGAAATTTGGATCATTTAGAAATTCAAATGTGGATCTGCGTCTTTAGTCGAGCAGTTAATCGTCTGAGGAGCTGCACTCCTGGAAGTGGTAACAGTGGTGACACCTTTAATTTTAGGAGCAACAACACTGGCGAGAAAGAAGGATGATGATGACGCTGCTGCTGCTTATATGGTAAAACATGAGTGTCTTCTTCGGGTTTGGAGGATTTACTTTGAAATATGTGTATGTGTGTGTGTGTGTGTGTGTGTGTAAGGTTGAACTGTGTACAGAGCAGAATCACTCAGTTCTCACCGCTCTCCGTCTTTCTTTACTGCTACGTTTGCTCATTGTGTTTTCATGGGCTGATGCCAGATGCCTGAGTTGAATCCGTTGGCCCCGGGGGGAGAAGGACTTTGGGGGAATTGGACTGAGGCAGAGATGCTCCAGGTGCTGGAGTTTCTGGCCGCTGACACCGACTGATGCTGCCCACATCAAAACAACTCCTCTTAATGCAATGGACAATTCAGCCTTTAAAAAATATGTTATTTTGACTCCTTCAACCGAGGCAGTTGGCACAGGTGTGAACAGTAGCACACGTATAATCAATATATTAATAATTTATATCAGGAGTCAGTTGTCTTTTAGGTAAATTTACGATCAATAAACATTTTTTATGTTAGTTTAAAATGTTACGTAAAATGCCACTGTGTTATTGTATGAGGACATGACAGAAGTGGTCATCACCATCACAACAATGAAGCCTCAGATAAAAAACCCACCGCTTTCTCACATCTTAGTTGGACGCAGCACTCGATCTCTCCTGAGTCCCTGCATCGACAAAGCTGAAGGAGAGAAAACATTTTCCCCTATAAAATATGCATGGTTTGTTCAGCACAGAATATGTCACTGATATCCTGTTTTGCACCACTTTCATAAAAGACCTGTCTTTTATGAAAAATGTATGTGTTGCTCTGGGCCCAAGAACATTTGATAATTCAGAAAACCAAAGCATGGATCCTTGGTGAGCAACGATTTGTTTTCTTTGAGATGCAGTTTAAAAAGGCAGGATTTCACTTCTACAGAGCACAGGATTCTACACATAAAAAAGAAACAAAAATAGACAAAATAAATACCTTCAATTTTGGAGAAAGTCTTTCCTTCTTTGTCCTGGTCTTTTGAAAAAGAACAACACATTCTGTGAATTAAATATTTACATATAATGGTCCATAATTTCCACACAGACTTACTGTACACACCTGACCACAGTTAGATGGATTACTGCTGTAGAAACTTAACCAGACATTAAAGACATCCAGTTAGGAGAACGGGTGGTTAATAAAACTAATTCTAATTAAATTTCATAAATTCTGCCCCTGGTGGAATCTGTTATAGGATTAAAATATATAAACACCACATTGTGATGTTATCATCTAAGGTTTTGTGCAAAATTGACCTGATGGTTGACGAACACTTTATGGAAAAGATGTATTTTATTTAGTCAAGTTATCAATTATTCTCTAGAGAAGTCTTAACCACTGGTCATCTCTCAAAACTCACAAAACACTTTCTGATAAATCCATGTTATTTATAACTTTTTGTGATCAACATAAAAAAACATTAATTTCAAATTCCTCTCAAAGTCACACACTGAGAGCAACCTTTTGCCCCTGATCTCAGCAGTTGTTCAATCATTTATACTCACTATTCAAAAACTACTGTTGATTTAGAGAGAAATATTCACCCAATCAAGTTCTGGAACTAGGTGAAGAAACCAGAGTACCAGGACGAAACCTATTCTTACCTCTAGGCAACAGTACAACCCACTGCACACCACGTGACCCTCTGGCTGAAATCTATGCCAGCTCATTTATCTGTGAAATAAAAGTATCATAGTAGAGTTCCCCTTTTGGTCAAGATACTAAACACTAAGAACTCAGATGTTATTCAGTGAAACCCATGGATTCAGCCCGGGACTTTAAAAAGCCTTTGTCTTCTTCCTTCTTTGTGTCTTTGTGTTTAAAGCATGTAAATATATGCATCCGTTGGCTCCCTGCCTGCACCGCTCCGTGCACATTTATTTGGTTTATTGGCAGCCTCACTGGAATGACCTGGACTAATGTAGCAGGGAGATTAGTAGACCATGGTGAAAATATTTCTGCACACACCCACCCTCCCTTTTTCACACACATGCGCAGAAGCAGAAAGAAAAAAACATCTGTGACAGACAAAACAAAGAGACAAAGGGGAGCAAATAATGTTTTCAAAACGGCATCATTTAAATTCACCACAATATATAGAGTAAAGAAATACAAGTCAGATGCACCATTAATTTCATAATCAGTCAATGGTGCTGTGACATGAGCCTTCACTACGTTACAAGAACATGGCTTTAATAAAATGTGTGTTTTATCGTCATGGTGCACCAAAAAACAAAAATCTGGAAAAAAAAATCAGTTAAAAATTATATAAATATATATTGAAAAATGTTTATGGTAAAAAATTGTTTAAAAAATACATACATTGTTAAACGACAAAAGCAAGAACTGCACGGATTCTTTGTAACTTAAAGTGACGACATCCCATTACTGGGGTTGACACATGAATGTAATTGCTAATTTCTAATTCCATCTTTTTAATTGTAATTTAATCGTATAATTTAATTGTAGGCAGGATTTTACACACAACCACAAACATATATATAATAAGGTTCTGAAAAAAAAGTATAAATACATTTTTTTTTAAAAATACAGAATACATCATGTTTCTTTCCACTGTGTTGTTACCTGAAAGGAGGCGTCTTCAGTTGTTTTGTTTTTGTTGGTATCTTTACAGAAGGAATTTTACAGAGAGACTTTCTCTGTTCTTTCCCTGTTAAATTCCTCCAAACAGCTGACGGTGTTGATCACTAACTGAATATCTGTTAATATATTCTTTAGTAGCAAATA